GTCAAGAATCGATAGCAGACTCGGGGAAATTTTAAAGTTTTTTTTATTATTGGTAGTACAAAAGAGTGGCACCGCCGTCCGAGAAACATTTCCTTTACAAACTTACAACAAAAAAAACACTTTGAAGGAACCCCACTTCAGGAACACACTCTCCGTGAGCCTCTGACTGTTCGACTCCCTCGTTGTCCCCAGACGGAGCTGATCACCAGCAAGGGCTTCCCGTGTGAGAACCACTACGTCACTACAGAAGACGGATTCATCCTCAACATGCAGCGGATCCCTCACGGCAGGGGAGAGAACCACACGGGGGCAGGTAACAAATGCCTTTTCACGTGAATTGTGTTGGGGACATGTACCAATATATGTCTTAATGTACATTGTGTGGGCGAGCTGTGTTGCCCAGCACAAAAAACTGAACAAAAGGCGACCTGTGGCGCCTCCACCCTTGAAGCCCAAAACCTAACAGAGAGCAATAGTTTCGGCTCATTTAGAGGATATTACATGACTATTTCGACCAGGGTTGCAACTGAAGCCATTATTTCAAGTATCCCGTTTTGTGATGTGCGATTCAATCTCCGTGTTACCTTGATCCTTCCTGCATCACCAAGCTGCCGCAGGCCATAGTGATATAATCCTCGTCATGGGTTTGTTTCCATCCACACGCATTCACTCCTTGCCATTATTTGCCGGGGGTATATTTTCAGGGTGATATTTGTTCAATACACTGATGAATAATCAACAACAACGAACTAACGTCGGACTTCATGTCCATCCGAAATATACAAGGTTATTGCTCCGTGAATAACGCGTGATTCTAGGTTCGTCAGCATCATACAGTGCACGTGGGTTTCAACAAACTGATAGAACTGAAATAGTTTTCCAAGCAGCGTTAACCCATGTCTCTGACTCATGAATGAATGAAATGAGTCTACCCTCTGACTGAAAGCTTACTTTATGTCAAATTAGTTTCAGCCAAGCCAACTGTTCTGCTGCAACATGGCCTACTAGGAAGTTCCAACAACTTCGTTCTCAACCCGGCCAACGAGAGCCTCGCTTTCATCCTGGCCGACGCCGGCGCAGACGTGTGGCTGGGCAACGTGCGCGGCAACACTTACTCACGTGCCCACAAGACGCTGAAACCATCGGACAAGAAGTTCTGGGAATGGAGGTATATATATATTGGGAAGTATATATACACCATAGCATGTGGTGAAGCCAATACTCTCCCCAATAAAGTTTTCACGTGTAGTTTTATGTATAACTATCCAAGTTTTGAACGACCATCTCAAGAACACTAATCAAGAACATTAATATTTCTCTCCGGGTATTTCAGTTTCGACGAGATGGCGAAGTATGACCTGCCCGCCATGATTGACTACATCGTACAGACGACCGGGCAGCCCCAGGTCCACTATGTCGGACACTCTCAGGGGACACTCATCGGCTTCGCGGGCTTCAGTCAGAATAAGACTCTGGGTCAGCTGGTCAAGACCTTCATCGCCCTGGCCCCAGTGGCGACCGTCGGGCACATCAAGAGTCCTCTCAGACTGCTGGCGCCATTTTCTAAGGGATTGAAGGTAATCCTAAATGATCGCATCTACCTATAAGATCTTACATTGACGTGCCATTAATATATTGGTATAGGATTCGGATTTCGGTGCAGAGTGGCGTCCCTTGGCTGCCAGGATCCCGGGTTTGACGCGATTATGACCCTTGGTCTGTTAATACCAGACCCTTGCTCGTTTGTTTCACCAAAATTTAAAACGTCCACGGAAAAGTCAGATATATTTTTGGTGTGATCTGACCAAAACTATCCACACGGTCACGGAAATCTAGGGGTATGCATTTGTATGCACGTGAGGTGTATAATATGGATTGCCGACGTAAAACTTTCCTCCATGTTACTGTGTGTTCCATTATTTGTTTCCGCCAGTATATTCACAATGTTGCAGCTTTTTGATCTGTTCGGCCACGGCGAGTTCGAGCCCAGCAGCAACTTGACAAAGTGGCTGGCGAAGGATGTCTGCAAGGGTCTACCCCTCCTCTGTGAGGACTTCTTCTTTGTCATCAGCGGCTTCGACTACGCCACGGTGAACAAGGTACGTCAGCTGGTGTCCAGTAGACACGTGCACACAATTATGAAGCCATAATAAGTGGGATAGAAGGATTTTACAGTTTTCAGAAGTATTCCAGCAGTATCAAAGGTAACCAAGGATTGGCATTTTGTTCCAATTAAGAGAATCGACCCGCTTCTTCGAAGTGACAAGCGAAGCACTACCTAACAAGCTACCGTGCAAATTTACCTACAAACCGCTACTGGGAGCACTGTTACAAATTCCCGAGGCAAGGGCGTCCACAGACCTTAAAAGTCCAGTGGTAACTTGACGGTTATAGTCAGTTAACAACCTTGCCACGGGAAGATGGCGCTGTTATGTCTGTTCCACTTTCAGGCCTTGGTTGTGTTTCAGACTCGCGTCCCCGTGTACGTGGCCCATACACCCTCGGGCACCTCTGTGCAGAACATGATCCACTTTGGACAGGTAGGTGGTACACCTTGAACAGGTAGGTGGTACACTTAGGACAGGTAGGTGGTACACTTTGGACAGGTAGGTGGTACACTTAGGACAGTTAGGTTGAATCTTTGGACAGGTAGGTGGTACACCTTGGACAGGTAGCGGGTACACCTTGGACAGGTAGGTGGTACACTTGGGACAGGTAGGTGGTACACTAGGGACAGGTAGGTGGTACACTAGGGACATGTAGGTGGTACACTAGGGACAGGTAGGTGGTACACAAGGGACAGGTAGGTGGTACGCTTTGGACAGGCAGGTCATACACTTCGGACAGGTAGGTGGTACACTTGGGACAGGCTGGTGGTACACTTGGGACAGGTAGGTGATACACTTGGGACAGGTAGGTGGTAAAATAGGGACAGGTAGGTGGTACACAAGGGACAGGTAGGTGGTACACAAGGGACAGGTAGGTGGTACACAAGGGACAGGTAGATGGTACACTTCGGACAAGTAGGTGGTACACTTCGGACAGGTAGGTGGTAAAATAGGGACAGGTAGGTGGTACACAAGGGACAGGTAGGTGGTACACAAGGGACAGGTAGGTGGTACACAAGGGGCAGGTAGGTGGTACACTTTGTCTTTCTAGAACTATCATTAGTCAAGAATCTTTTTATCACCATGGCTGATGTGTGAAAAAAATGTGTGTCAAATATATTATACTATTGAATAAAAGGGCAACTAATTTTAAGCAGCATGTAGGAAGAAGCCGCTATAGAAACGATTATTAATGACGTTCATACATCACTGGTAGCATACAATGTCACAGATGCAATTGTCTTAAAATGTCAATATTGGATTCACCAAGGATCAATGACTAAGTTGCTATGGTTACTCTCCAGGAGGTCAACGGCGACCAGTTCGTGATGTACGACTTCGGCTCGGCATCTGCTAACATGGCCCACTACGGACAGGTTGGTGTTGAGGGAGTGTGTGAGTGAGTTGGGTTTAACGCACCTTGGAACAATATTTCTGTTATAAGGCGTTTCAACTTACTATTGAAGGAAAGCTCAAAGTGATGCAGGTATAGGAATTATAATGCTTTGTTGAATTCCAGAAGCACGGGAATATTATACCGACAAAGCTAGAACACAGTCAGAGCAAGTGGGATTCGAACCCTAGGTCATATGAGTGGGTTGATGGCGTGTGTGTGGTGGGGGTGGAGACATCGTGGTTCAGTGCGTAAAATCGCTTCATGTCATTAGAAATTAACACCTCTCCCCTCGGGGCCTTTTTATACAAGGCCAGTGTTTGGTAACCGTTGCAGTACCATAGCAACCGTTAAGCCGTCTGCGTCCACGTGTAGGATGTCGTCATTGTCTTGCCTTACCCTGCAGACTCAGATGCAGTCACATACACTAAAGGGCAATGATCTCTCTTCCAGGCCACGCCACCTGCCTACCGCCCGGATGAGATGGACGTGCCCGTGGTGTTGTTTAGCGGAGGAAAAGACTTCCTGGCAGACCCGGATGATGTCACGTGGATCCGGTCTCAGCTGAAGAACATTGTGGGAGATCACATGATCCCTCACTGGGAACATTTGGACTTCATTTTGGCTCTGGACGCCCCATCTCTGTGTTATAATGAGATTAAAAGACTTGTATTTAGCTGAGACTTGCGCCACGACCACGTACAGCCCAAGTCCAGAGTGTTGTTCTAATCATGGATCAATCCATGCAATAAAATAGTACAGTATTTGTTCGGCTCGTCACAATCTTAAATTGTATCTGCTGGTCTAATGTCACATATCCTAAGCTTTTAACAGTTTGCAAGAAAGGATTACAACATAGAAATAGAATAAGACATTATACGTATTGTAATATACGTAATATACGTACACCTATATACGTCTTGTAAACACTTCCGCCCGTGGTGATTTCGGGTCAACACTGGTCAACACACCTGCATGTTTCAATGTCACGACATCTCTTCAAGGTCCCAATACAATAGTTAGTGACGTCACGTGTACAACAATAGAAACTCTACTACAAGGGTCATACCGTTTCAGCAGTATTTATGTTAGCTTGTTTTTGTCAGTGTTTGTATTTAAAGGATTATGTAAGGAAAGCTGTGAAGATCCGGGGTAGACTAGGTCTTCATCAACCTATGCTTGCCGTAAAAGGCGACTATGCTTGTGAGAGGAGATTAACGGGATCGGGTGGTCAGGCTCGCTGACTTGGTTGATGCATGTCATCGTATCCCAATGGCGTAAAATGATGCTCATGCTATCAATCACTGGATTGTCTGGTCCAGATTCGATTATTTACACACCGCCGTCATATAACTGGAATATTGCTGAGTGTCGCGCTAAGCAACAAACAAATGTAAGGAGATAAATATACACACTGATTTTTCAATAAATATGGGTGGGTGGGGGTGCTTTGCATTGGACAAGGAGAAGCACATTTTAAATTTTTTCACCTACAAACTGTCTTTCATCTGTTTTTTTCTGTTAAATAGATCCATGCGCTATCGTACGTGGGAAACAAACATATTTGCATAAGTTTCCTGATTTGATTTGACCTTGTCCTTGATCTAGGTCACTCCAGTATCGCACAGATTGCCGTGGCAATATACGTCCGTGATGTTGTTTGCTGTGACTCTCTCACTTCTAGTGGTTACGGTCGCCTCCCTCTTTCCCCCGGGGCACTCCCCTTCCCCCCCAGCTGGGAGAGGACCCTGAGGTCGACATGAACGCCGTGAGTATACACTGACTCATTCTCTACGAGTAGATATACGCGTTACGGTCTGACCAGATTCGTCATTCTTAACGTATTCGTGATTTAATTAATATAATTGCATGTAACAAATTTTATATTTGGGATAACACTTTCATGGTAAAGTACAGATTCTAGAAGGTTTTGGGGGTTGAGTCCCATCCGGGATTCTAACCAACACTGCCAGAGTGAGGCAGCGAAACTCAGCGATCTAACCCATTCAGCCCTCGGGAATTCCTCAAAATGAAAGTCCGACAACTGGTTGTCCATTTCACGTATTTTATGCACCCCTCTGACAAGTATAACTTGGCACGGCTCTCATGGCCGAATGGCATTGTGTATTCATGTTTGCATGTGTTTTAAGAAGGACTTTGTAGTTTGTCTGATTAAGCCCTAAGCCCTGGTGCCTGGTTATTTAGTATCCCTGTTTTGTGCCATCTATATATAGAGCGGTGGCCTTAATAAAATATCTGTGTCGGTCTATCTCATTAAAATCCGATCTTATATTCAGATACTAAACCTCTCTCTGGGTGAAAGATTATTTGAATGACAGTTTGCCCTGATCGAAATTAAGTTGTCAAATCCACATGGGAATGAGACCGCGATGGTCATGTGTGTCTATATAACGAATTCTTCCAAGGTGTCATGAAGACCCAGAACCCAGATCTTTTGTGTCCAGACGGAGCTGATCACCAGCAAGGGCTTCCCGTGTGAGAACCACTACGTCACTACAGAAGACGGATTCATCCTCAACATGCAGCGGATCCCTCACGGCAGGGGAGACAACTCTTCGGGGACAGGTAACAGATGCGTCAAGGCCTTGTCCTTAAGATACAGGTAGATATTGAAAGTTCATCCTACATTTATCGTGTGCAAGCTAAGTTTTTTGGGTGTAGTTTTGGGTGGCGCAGATAGCACAGATACATCTTGATTTGTATGTTCATTAACTGCGCATTCAATATAGTGCTAGTCATCGTAGCCATAGAATCTGGTATAATTGTGTACCTGTTTACCTTTCAAATGTATAACAACAGGGAGTGGCGGGTGGTGTGAGTTTGTTTATCCACGTTATGTTACACTTCCGTCAGAACCAATTAAACTGACATAATGCCCCAGAAGTTGAAATCTTGCTACTTCAGTCAGACCGGCGGTGATGCTACAGCATGGCCTTCTGGGAAGTGCCACCAACTACCTCGACAACCTCGCCAACGAGAGCCTCGCTTTCATCCTGGCCGACGCCGGCGCAGACGTGTGGCTGGGCAACGTGCGCGGGAACACTTACTCTCGTGCTCACAAGACGCTGAAACCATCGGACGAGAAGTTTTGGGCATGGAGGCATGTGTGGCACTTTTTTGTCAAACAAATACTCGCGTGAGCAACTCCAAATAGAGTTCATAGAGACCACCTACCTCGATGAACCCCTGTCGTCTGTGAGTTTGGTTTAACACCGCTTAGAAGAGTATTTCAGTTATCACCGGCCTCTCACCTTGATGTGGGAGGAAAGCCCGAAGTGATGCAGGTCTAAGACGTTTACCACTTCGGTGCAACATACGAGCAAGAATGCATGCTGTGCTGACAAACCTAGAAACATTATCAGGGCCGGATTCGAACCCACGATCACATGTTTCTGGCGCACCTAGGGACAGCGATTTGCGGCGTCTTGGGGGAGTTTGGCTTCCTGTGCCCTATGTCGACAATGAAATAAACATCAAAACAAAACACACGTAGATTTATCTACATTAAAGTGCGACGTCTGTAGCCTTTTTTAGTAAAAAGTTCACGGTTTATAAGAAATTAACCCATTAGCTTATGGCTTTGAACGACCATTTCAAGAACTCAGGGATAGTTTTCAACAATCAGGAACATTTGAATTTCTCTCTGGGTATTTCAGTTACGACGAGATGGCGAAGTACGACCTGCCCGCCATGATTGACTACATCGTACAGACGACCGGGCAGCCCCAGGTCCACTATGTCGGACACTCTCAGGGGACACTCATCGGCTTCGCGGGCTTCAGTCAGAACAAGACTCTGGGTCAGCTGGTCAAGACCTTCATCGCCCTGGCCCCAGTGGCGACCGTCGGGTACATCAAGAGTCCTCTCAGACTTCTGGCGCCGTTCTCGAAGGAACTCGGTGTAAGGTTTAAGCTATTTGTTGAAACGTTTTGAAAATAATCCATGACATCCTGATTCTGTATCACTACTTGAGCAGGGCTGGAGGGTGGTTAGTAGCTGTTCACATCACTATATATACCTAAACACATGTGACCCATGAAGATCCGTGGTAGAATTGGGGTAGAACTCATGTTTGCCGTAAAAGGCGACTATGCTTGTCGTAAGAGTCGACTAACAAGATCGGTTGGTCAGGCTCGCTGACTTGGTTGTGCATCGTATCCCAATTGCGTGGATCGATGCATAAGATGACAATCACTGGATTGTCTAGTCCAGACTCGATTATTTACAGACCGCCGTCATATAGCTGGAATATTGCTGAGTGCGGCGTTAAACAAAAAAAACAACCAAGCAACTTCATAGGATGTGAACGTGTGTCCATCTGGGCGAATAGTGTTCTTGCACCACGTGTTCATGTATGGAGACATTTATCAAAATGAGATCAATGGCACGCGTAGATGGTTCAAAAAGTAAATGGTACGTGAATATCAGATCTTGTACTCTAATACGTCAAGCAGAGTGTAAATGATCTGACGTTAATGAGATTTCATTGGAAGTGACGCTGAAATATGCTTATTTACAGACCGCCGTCATATAGCTGGAATAATGCTGAGTGTGAATACATGTATAACATTCTCCCTACAATACCATTAAACCTGCACGAAGGGACCCGAGTGCACCAAATGCAATAGCCGGAAGCACTCTGTAAATCTCCTATAACCATCAGCGCTTGACTCTGGGTTTTGCAGGCTGCTATTGGGCTGTTCGGACATGGCGAGTTTCTACCCAGCATGGAGCTGACCACATGGTTTGCCGATGGCGTGTGTACCGATATCCCCCTCATCTGTGCGAATGTCTTATTTGTGCTTGGAGGGTACGACTTCAAGGCGCTCAATATGGTACGTTAAGTTTTGAAAATGATATTATTCTTATAAAATATTTTCCCCGTCAAATATCCGTTCCAATATATTGGCCGCAACTGACTGTTTGCATCAGTGTTTCATAAACATACACATTAGTTTTTATTCATTATATGAAATATATTCTACCCAACGTTTGAGATAAGTTGTACAATTTCCAATTTTGTTGTGTCATGGTGTATAGAATGGATATATCTTTATCAATATATATTACATTAGTATCACGTTAATACGTGTGGCGTGTATACACGTGGTTAGCCCAGGAAATAGAGTTTTCCCGATCACGTTGAGCATCCTTTATGTTACATACGTTTTGTACACTGCGGGTAGAACCCCACTCACTCACTCACTCCGTGCCCCTTGCGTCTACAGTCCCGGGTCCCAGTCTACATAGCTCACAACCCCGCCGGCACGTCCGTACGGAACGTGATGCATTTCGCCCAGGTGAGCCAGACATATACACACAACTATACAGCTACTACTAAACAACTACAACTTCTACTACACAACTGTTGACTGGGGTCAGTTTGGTTTCTTAGATATGGATCTTTAAGAGAAAGGTATGAGGACTTATAGAGAAGGCATCTGTAAAGCTTTCAAAACGGTTTGTGGTAGCCATGTAGAGGACATCTCCAAGTTTGACGCATCAGTGACAAGAATGATGTCAGATGCAATTCCCTATTTTGACTTGTACCATTTGTTCCCGTGTTTGTTCAGGTGAACAATGGACTTGCCTTTGCATGTGTTTGTGACGGATGCCACCGGTGGGGCAGGATACGCTCCCCTTTTCGCGAACATCTAGCATCCTCACTATTTGATAGTGATTCCTGAACACCTGCTCGTGATATAGTCGGGATCGTACAATCGGCTCTGCTTTTGGCAGAGATTTCTTATGAGTATGGAAATAGTTTTGTTGCTCTTTTATTCTTACAGCGGTCCTGTACATATGTATGTTTGTATTCCACCGCAGGGTGTCAATACGGACAAGTTCATGATGTTTGACTTCGAATCTGCGGCTGCCAACATGGAACATTATGGACAGGTGAATGAGTGAGTGAGTGAGTGAGTGAGTGAGGGTTTTATCGCCGCTTATATTAATATTCCCGTAACAAACAAGCAATAGGCTTCACATATTGTACCAAAATGGGGAATCGAACCCGGGAATTCGGTGAGATGGCAGAACAAGTCGAAACGTGTCCAGACGGACCTGGTAACCTGGCTTACCTGTGGGTTCTTGAGATCCCCGTGTCTAAGTCGGGGAGCATATAGACAAGGGGGTGTTTAGCTGTGACACACCCAATTATCTTTATTTATCCCGTCGGCTCATTGTCATGAAGATGTTTTTAGTTTGATGACTACTACGAAAATATCTTTCTTCGTAACTGTTGAATATCCTCTGGGTGACCTGGTCCTGTTTCAGTCGACCCCGCCCCTCTACCACCCAGAGCGGATGGAAGTTCCGGTCGTGTTGTTTAGTGGCGATAGGGACTTCCTGGCTGACCCGACTGACGTCACGTGGCTCCGATCCCAGCTGAAGACAACTGTGGCAGATCACGTGATACCTCACTGGGAGCACCTGGACTTTATCTGGGCAGAGGACGCACCAACCCTTTGTTATAAGGAAATTCAACGACTCGTGTTCAATTAAAAGCAGAATGAGTTTTTATCAACTGACACGAACGTATGTCATATTTCCCACAGTTTTTGTGTGTGTTTGAGGAGTGAGTGAGTGAGTGAGTGAGTGAGAAGGAGCTATATTCCAACGATATCACGTCTAAGGAACCTCGATTCGTCATTCGTTTATTTGTTGTTTAACGCCGCTCTTGGAAATGTCTCAGCTATATCACGGCGGCCTGTAACTAATTTTGAGTCTGGACCAGACAATTTAGTGATTCACACAGGCATCGATCTACGCAGTTTGGATACGATGCCATGCATCAACTAAGTCAGTGACCTCCGGCCACAATCACTTTCCTTCTTTGCTATCTATAGTAACATGACCGCCCATCATAATTAATATCGGCCGTTTGCTGTTCTCCTGTCGCATGCTGACCAACCTACCACTTGTCACTTAAACTGCATGGTATGGACCTGGATCCAACATCTATAGATTTCGTGATAACCACTGTCAACAATGGTCACCGGACGTTTTGAGCCGAAACACACAAAACGGCCTTGAGCTTGGGGTCAAATCATGGGAAGCTGTGAATAATAAAAATTTACAACAAAAAATAATGTCTAATCTTTCACTTAAGCTGCCACAAGTCACTCTAAAAACAGTGGCACAGACTGAACAGCCCATTTAAACAGGGCACAAAATTATCTGGTCTCAGGCGGGTTCGTGTTCTAGTCATGACTAGCATGGGTTGGCCCATGCTTGCCGTAAAAGGCGACTAACGGGATCGGTTGGTCAAGCTCGCTGACTTGGTTGATGCATGTCATCGATCTCAACTGCTTGTATCAATACTCATGATAGATTATTTTACAAACCGCCGCCATATAGCTGGAATATTGCGGAGTTAAACAACAAACAAAGAAACAAAGCATGGGTTGCTTAAGACCAATTCTAACCCGGATCTTCACAGGGCGACGCCACACTCTGATGTGCTACCAGCTTCATTCCTAAACGTGTGTGCTAATCACTCAACTCCATGCCAACTACTGGAGGACGCATCTTTGATGCTGCTTTCAACCGATGTGCACAATGCATTCCTCAGTGCTGTATAGTTTATTTCAATTGGCAAACAATAAAAATATTGGGCAAAGTGACATAAAACAAATGTCATCATGAACATGTGTTGTTCCAAATGTGTAATGGATTTAAACAATAATTGATGGTTAGATAATTGATATGGGGGATACATTTTCCCGAATTAACCTGCATCGCTGAATTCTACTCCGTGTGTGTGTGTGTGTCTGCTTGTACTAGTCCGGGCTGATGCCAATTTATAGTGCTAGCCCACTGAGATACCATGCCACAGTTTAACATGAATACACCACTCAGAGAGTATACTGACTCCGAGCCGACCAGTCCTTGTTTTAGCCCTTTAATGCCGAGCGCACAGGGTAACAAGAAGTACCATCTTTTAACGTCTTTTGCATGGTGTGACGCGGCCGGGGATCGAACCTCGGACATTCCGTTCTCCGGGCGGAAGCCCTACTACTAGACCACGGAGGCGGCCAAAGGATGATAAATCTAATTCTCACATAAAGAACGTCCATGCCAGAATTCACCGAACTGTATACTGTATACAGATTGAGAGTAGTGCCGTCATGTGGGGACAGACTGGGAGTAGTGCCGTCATGTGGGGACAGATTGAGAGTAGTGCCGTCATGTGGGGACAGATTGAGAGTAGTGCCGTCATGTGGTGACAGACTGAGAGTAGTACCGTCATGTGGGGACAGACTGGGAGTAGTGCCGTCATGTGGGGACAGACTGAGAGTAGTGCCGTCATGTGGGGACAGACTGAGAGTAGTGCCAGCATGTGGGGACAGACTAGGAGTAGTGCCGTCATGTGGGGACAGACTGGGAGTAGTGCCGTCATGTGGAAGACAGCCTGGGAGTAGTGCCGTCATGTGGGGACAGACTGGGAGTAGTGCCGTCATGTGGGGACAGACTGGGAGAAGTGCCGTCATGAAGTGGCGTTTTACTAGCGTGAAATATCGATTATACACTTTCAAATACATATACACAACACACCAGAACACCCTTGTTTTTATATGACTGCCATTGGTTGTGGGTATTGCAACGGTGTCGTCCCATCTTCCGGACGATTCATATGATTAGGGATCAATGATACGGTACGCCGATTTGCCGGTTAAAGTCTATATAACAGTGAGTAGTACACAGTTCCAGCCACACTGCCTTTACTGTGAACTTCAGACATACAATCCTTGATAATCACTGAACTCGAATTAGGATAGGTGAAATTGGCGTCTACAATTAAAATAGGTACAGTTGGTGGACTTGAATTCAAACGAATATATTGACTGAATTATTGCAGGATGTCACTTAGTATAGCAGCATATTCATGAGACTTGTAGACATTCTAGTTAATTGCCAAAGGCAAACCGTGAACGCACTTCGAATTCACGAGAAGGCAGACACTTGGTCCATTCTGGATGTGAGGATAGAGGGAAATGTACCAATGGCTTGCGGGTGATACTGCGAGCGTTAGATTAGGTTTTATAGCTAACGACGGACGCATAAAACCACATGCACCCCGAGTGTTCCTGCTACAATGAATGTATCCTACCGACATGTTATAATCTTCCATTGTGAGAGAATTAAAGCAAATTCAAAATTGATAGTAAACAGATGTTCGATTGAGCTGAGGTGAACTTGTGCTATGTCACGTGACTTTCATTGACTCGGAAAAAGCTTTTTTCTTCAAAGCTTGCTTATAAGGATTTATTCTCCCGCTCAGAAATCCACATGCAGCCTGTCTTCTTCGTGGCGAGGTATTACGATTTATTCTCCCTCTCAGAAATTTCTTTCCCTCCTAGACGGGATACATAGCATTTTATCAAGATCACGTTAGCCAATCAGATCTCATCATTCTGACATGGAAGTACGATAAAGTATTTTATCAAGACCACGTGAACAATCAGATTTCAACATTCTGACATAAAGGCGGTTGTAATCAGTCACGCGGGATTAACCATACCACAGATTAACCTTGTTTCTCCACGGCTTTAGGCAAATTGAGTTTGTGGTCATTATGAGAGGGGAATGAACCGAGTGTTTATGCTTACTAGTGATGAAGTGAATCTCTCCCTTAATGGTCTTATAGATAAGTCTGACCTGGCAGTCTTTTTCAATGTCACCTCTGAGTGTATCACAACTCTATATCACCTGTGTGACCATGCAAATTCCATATCCTTGAAATCACACTAATCTGTCGTCGACCAGAAAATCGAGTGATTGATGTTGTGAATAACGATCCACGCCGTCGGCGTACGAGGACACGCAATCCTAATCCTATTCTAACCCGGAATCCCACGAGGTCCGTCGTTAAGAATCAGCAACGTGTATGAGTGAGTTTCCCACCTAGCTATGCATTGCTTGTCCACTCGTGAAGATCAGGGTACAATAGGTCTTCAGCAGCCCATGTGCTTACCGTAAAGGCGACTGTGCTTGTCGTAAGAGGCGACTATCGGGATCGGGTGGTCAGGCTCGCTGACTTGGTTGATACATGTCATCGTATCCCAATCGATGCTCATGATATCAATCACTGGATTGTCTGGTCCAGACTCGATTATTTACAGACCGCCGTCATATAGCTGGAATATTGCTGAGTGCGGCGTTAAACAAAAAACCAACCAACTTCATAGGATGTGAACGAGTGTCCATCTGGGCGAATAGTGTTCTTGCACCACGTGTTCATGTATGGAGACATTTATCAAAATGAGATCAATGGCACGTGTAGATGGTTCAAAAAGTAACATGGAAGTTCGTGGTACGTGAATATGAGATCTTGTACTCTAATACGTCAAGCGGGGGCACGGGTGGCCCAGTCGTCTAAGGCGCCGCGATTCGCTGCGCAGGGTTGCGTCCCTTGGGCACGCCAGAAACCTATGATTGTGGGTTCGAATCCCGGTTCGCCCCGATTATGTTTCTAGGTTTGTCAGCACCATACCCGTGCTCGTGGGTTTCACCGAAGTGGTAAACGTCAGAGACCTGCATCACTTCGGGCTTTCCTCCCACATTAAGCTGACACGCCGTGATATAACTGGAATACTGTTAAAAGCGGCGTTAAACCCAACTCACTCACTCACTAATACGTCAAGCAGAGTGTAAATGATCTGACGTTGAAGAGATTTCATTGGAAGTGACGCTAAAGGGTGGTGATGAATCGGGTTCCTTTGTCAGAAGACTTGACAACATTCATAAGACTAATTCCTCAAGGCGCGGAACTGTATACTTCTTTCTGACGTACTTGTCAGTTAAAATGCGATCAATACAGAATCGTCACTGAATCCGTGTGTATGTTACAGTTGACCTTACTCTTCAAGATCAGCCAAGTTTACGAACGTCACTGGGGGTGCGGGATATCTATACATACATTTGCATAAAAAGACAAATGGCGTCTCACTCACGCTGAATGAGAAATATTTCAAATCTACCTATTCAAGAAACAAAACAGAATGCGAAAGTTGTCACCCATATTGTCTTTGTGCCTATCCATGGCGTCTACAGGCATGACTGAAACATGTTGCTCCTAGGTGGAAATTCTCCCTGATGATGGCGTTACAAGTAATTTTGCGTTGAATATGGAAGGAATTGAGAATGAGTAGATTGTGGTATTTGTTATTTAGAAAAATGAATACTTCAGATGGTGGCTGCAGGGATTTTGCTTTGGGGGACCTTCCCGATGCCAAGATTCTATAACTAAGTACTACCGGAAATACTCAGTTTGTAATTACGAATTTTAGGGCTATGAAAATAGCATCAAAATAACGCAAATCTACCTAATCTAGCCTATCTTAACAGACACTGTGAGAAGCCGAAAATGTACTTTTACAGGTAAAATTGTGATAAAGTTAGAATATATTCGTGTGTTGTCATGCTTGTATGAAACGGCCTAAAAGCCTGAGGTAATTACCTGACACCTTTCCCGAGATGATAACCACACTGGCCCGTGCATTCTCACAGGTGCAAATGTCACCTGCGT